CTGCAAAATGCAAAACTTTATTTCGTACCTTCATATATTCATACCTCCATACATTCAATTTAGCAAGAAGTGGCCATTATTCAGATGGGTGTTTCTGCAGGATAGGCAATGCAAAACTGTATTTCGTACCTACATACTACAGCCTGATAACAGATAGATAACACAACATAGAATGATTTATTTCTGCTTCAGAGAGCTGAAGTGGAGGAGCTGATTGAACTAGTTGAAATCTCCTAACAATGTTGTCCATTTTAGAAATAGGCCTATTATATTTACAGCCCTTAATAACATTCATTTTCTGGGCTCAAAGTGTGTCTTGGCCGTTTTCATTGTGATCGCTGAATTCCCCTTGTTTATAATAATCACAGTTCCTTCAACAGGATACTGTAGTGATTCAAAGTGTGATTTTAGCATAGCCTACGACGTGCTTTTGTTTTGAAATCACTTCCGTGAGTTTCGTCTGCGCTCTTATTTTGAAAGACAACTTCCGGTAGCAGAATATGAAAAAACTGGTTTTTTTTTTGTTTCTGTTTTCTAGTGATTTTATTTTTTGTTTTGAGAAGTAGAAAATGAAAATCATCCCGTTTTTTAAGTTTAGTAAATCCCTTTTTGACCGTGATAAAGAAAAACGCCTTGTATTTCAATTTTGGTTTTTCAATTTGAAAACGAAAATCAAATATCCAGTCGTTTTTTGTTTTTGAATTTCCATTTGTGAGAAGAAAATCCAATGACCAAAACATACACTGACTCAAAACATACACTGACCGAGCTGCTCTCAGGAAAATACAACTGGAGGTTAAAGGTGAGAAACTAAATACCTGAGATTAATGATAAAGGTTTCTCTGATAATGTTGTTAAATACAGTCAATGCTGTCCATCTGTTTCCAGCTACTATCAACAACGTCAATAGACTAGCATTAGACTTCAATTCAATTTAAATAGCTTTATTGGCATGACCCTAATGACATACCGTATTGCCAAAGCTTAAAGGGGACCTATCATGCAAAATGCACTTTTGTACGTCTTTTCTACATGAATATGTGTCCCCGGTGTTCCAGGGAACTCACCAAGTGTCAGAAAACACAACCCTCTCTATTTTCCTCCATACCCAAATCTCTAAAAAAGGGGCTGCAACGGATCTGATAAAATCTGATCCAGATTTGAACACTGTCCTGACGTCAGGACGGTGGCGCTACGGCTATTGGGCCAACTCCACCAATCAGGAGGAGACAGCCACGGCCATTGCCGTTCGAAAGCGCTGGAGACGCTGTAGTACATATGCCAGGCCAGTAGATGGTGCTGTTCTCACAGAATCTGCCCTTGCTAAAACAGGACTAAAAAAGTGCAAATTGAGCGAAATGAGGCATGGCTAAAATGCATGATCTGTTTGGTATTTTGAAAAAAAAAAAGTATAAATATGCCTTATATAGGTATGGTCCTACACTATATTATTCAAATATAGCATGATAGGTCCACTTTAAGGTTTCCATGATTGATGAGACAGAGAACAGAGTTCACTAGTATCACTACAGTGAGAGCGGTGACAACAGTAAACAGAGGGACAGACTGATGTGGAGCAGAAACCAATGACCCAAAACATCACTGATAACTTCCCAACAGGCCCCCCCCTGCGATACTCGATGACTGGTCTGCTCCATCTTTGAAAAATATGTAATTTTTTCCGGCTAACAAAGCTCTGTCTTGGATGTTTACTTGTATTTCTGTGCTACATGGTTGCGTTAGCAGTAGGGGGAAATGACGGTACAGATTCAGCCACACAAACATCACTATCTTTTTATGTATATCAGCTATTTCTCCTTTGCACGGAGAAATATTGCTCCTTCAACTTATTAAACATTTGACTCATTTTTATCTAGTACCATTAGACCGGGGCTCATGTAAATGCTTAAACCTGCAAAGTGCATATGACATATTAATATGAGCACAAATATTATCCTTAAATTAACTTGGTTAGAAAGTTCAAATGTGACTTTTTAATGGTAATAAAGATGTATTTGTGTTCAAGGCTTGCAGATAACATTAAAATACCAAACCAAAAGGGAAAACATTGGGCATTTAAGTATTTATAACACTTCTTCGGCTTTATACAAAGTACATTTTCCTCGAATGTATTTAAGTTAACTATGTAATCTTAGTTTAATTAGGGGCCCCTTGCAGATTGTGTCTGAATCTAAATCCTGGGACGGCTCCTCCACAAAGCAGCAGCGATTCTCACTGACTGACCATGACAAAAAAAACCTGTAGATTGTAAAGTACAACTATTATTTCATGCGAACTAAATTGAACTCAATTCTGACCGTAAATAAAACAGTGGGGGGAAAAAACAATGTAGTCCACAGTGTCAATCATTAAATATATGTTTTTGTCTGCAAGGAAATTCACACTAAAAAGCCTATGTTTTTAAAATACACCCGTGATCGTATAATAAATTAGAACAGCATTGTGCTCCTTTAAAAAGGCTCATATCTATATAAAAAACGTTAAAGGTCTCCTATTATACTGTTTTTCATCAATATATTATAGGTCTCAGATACAAAACATGTCTCTGAAGTGTTTGGCTCCAAACACCAAACAGATTATTGCAGCATCCCATAATCCCCTCTGTTTCAGCCCTGTTTCCAAAGTGCTGATTCTCTGTCTGTTACTTTAGATGAAAATAAGGAGCCCCTCCCCACGCCCCTCTGAGAGACATTTGGTTAAAAAGAACTCAATGGTGCTCGAGGAGGAGATTCAGGTGATAAGGGGGGGGGGGGGTTACCTTGGTTGCTGATTGTCTAATGGTTACACAAGACAAAACAACATTAGGACATCATAAAGTGGGGGGGGGGTTGGGGGGGGCATTGGGATAATTTTTTTTTATAAATCCTCTGGAGCAGAGAGAGGAGCTGTGGATTATTGTTATTGATTAATGCATCAGTGTTTCTTAGGGTCAAAAACACTAAACTCACAACTTAAAATGAAAGCGTTTAGTTTATTTAATAAAAGAGCACATGTTCAATGTGAGAAGTGACAGTAGATATAGATTAGTTGCAATTTGGTGCTATATATGAAAAAATAAAAATAAATGTCAACACCTTGAATTTCAGGGGGGGCGCGGGGCTCCGTTGGCGGGGCTCCGTTGGCGGGGCGCAGCGCCCCTCCAAGACAATGGTAGGGGAAACACTGAGTAATATTGTGAACATAAATGTTAAAGTTTTGTATCTTTATCGTTTCTGTCATTCTAATTTAGAAAAATAAAACACCTCTGGGGTCATTTGGGTGCATTTTCCATATCTCTGGCCCCCCTTGGTCGATTTTGATGAGACAGAGCAGCAATGAGGAAAGACCAGGCAGGCATTTCTTTGAAATGAGGCGAGGGTCCCTTCTAGTTACAGAGAGAGGTGTACCTGCTCCACACTGACACACTGTGATGTTGAACACCGGGGTTGGAAGAGGACGTGATTTTCACAACCAGTCATGTAATCCAACATATTGTCTTTCTTGTTGTAAAAGCTTTCTAGTATCTCCACTTTGACTCAATGTCATTTTAGGCCAAACACACATTCAGCAATGTGTTCAGAGAGTATTATTCTTCATATAAATAAAAATACTTCTTTCAATCTTTGAGCTTTTCCAGGGTGGCTAATAATGTTTTTCTGTAGTGTGTCAGCTCAAAACAGATAGGTGTGTTTGTTTTGTTAAACCAACCGCACATGCAACAACATGATTAATTGACTTAAAAATGATCGTATTGCTTCCGCTAAGAAAAGAAATATCGTTCCACTGCGTACCAATGGCAGGAAGTGATCATTGATTTGAGGTTTTCTGTAACCGTCCAAGTCTGTTCACAGTTTCATTTTTCTAAGGACAACAGTTTGATCTTTTAGAAGCCCCAACAGATGGTCCTATAGATGGTTTAAGCAAGCTGTCCTCATATTGGATCAACACAGATCTCCAATGTAATAATTCATTGTATAGGATTGTTTTCAGGCTTGGTTGTTTGGTTCGCTACAGAGCACTGCAGTTCTTCTTTTAGAGGAGAGCATTTTAGAGACTTCTTCTAGCCGAGTCGATTTCATTCCTGATGGATTTACGAATACAGCTCTTTACAACTGGAAACCAAAACTTAACTCTGGATAATGAGTGTGCATAGGATACAACTACACCAGAATCACCTTAAGAAAAGGAGCGTTAAAATAGTCTTTACCAGATAAAGACTTCAATGTTAGGAAACTTAACTTAGAGAACTTAGAGAATCTGCTCTCTGTCTGCTATAAAATGTCCATTAAAAGGGAAAATGTAAAACATTGTACACTGCTGCATTGTTGGCAAAAAGCCGGCCAACGTGTACTACATCAACTGGTGATAGAAAACATTTAAAACTAATGGAGGACCGTGTGAAAATATAACAACAATAATACATGTTTAATGTGTTTGTTTGTTTGTTTTTAAATCAATTGAATTATGAAAAGCTAAGTATAAGATGACACATAATGAGCAACAGTTTCTTGTGGTTAGTGTTTTTGCAGGAAATTCAATGTCAGTCATATCCTGTTGGCTTAATATAGCAAGACCGATGCAATGCTGCAAAACACTCACACACAGCGGGGGGGGGGGGGTTATGATTACTATAATTTTCTACTTACCAATGTACTCGTTAAAAACAGCTTCTGGTTAAAAAAGCCCCCAACTTCTCCTTCACAGATTAAAACATGAGTCATTTTATTACCCTGTGAATTAGTTTCACATTAGGGACCAGTCAGATTTCTGAGGATGATTTTCTTAATTAACCAAATGAGGAATGATACAAAAAATATCTACTCTAAGTTTCTGACATGTTGTGTTTATGTCAGGGACTTCCTGATAATCCAAAGTGTATTTGTCTGTGTCTCTCTTTCTCACAACTTATTTCCTGTGTACTGTGAACGCTAAAAAAAAATCTACATATAATGAGGAAGGAGCTTTGATTACTAAGCGGAAGAAAAAGGGGAAGGGCGGAGAGAAAGCTGGGGGTAGAAAGATTTAAGGTAAGGCACGACAGTAATTGGAAAACACAACACTCATACCAACGAACTGTAGAGACCAGTTTAATAATCTGACGGAGGATCTCAGCATCGGACAGCAGCACCATGAAGAGGCTTCTGCTGCTCTTCCTCTCACTGATGACAGGTACAAAGATTACTTATACCCAATTGCTGATTTGGATCAAATAAACAGTTTTCAAGATATTCTGCATCAAGTTTGAGCTAATTTCTTTATTTTATTGATCATAAGTTGTTTAAAAGGGTGGTGGGGTTGGTGGAGCGCTTTGAGGGCTCCATTGTCTATTTTGCTGGATGGAAAGTGGAGGGCATCCTGCTGATAGACCAGTGTTTCCATCACTTATCATTGGTGAGAACTCAAATAATATAAAGTATATCAAGATATGTTTGACCAATTACCTTGATTTCTATACAGAGATAATATTGTAGGGTTCTGACTCTTGAGTCCAGAGAAGAGGTTATTTTTAATGGATTCATCTTTTCTCTCATTGTGTTTACATCACTTCTCATTGGCCGAGGAGATTCAATTACATTTTCTATCTCAATCAATCTGAACAGACCCACAAAACAATGCATTATGGGTCTTTGTATTGTACATTATTAGATACAGACATGAGACTTTCTCTTTAAGATCCAAATACCTGAAAATTAGGACTAACACTGACTGAAAGGCAGTACTGGAAGTTCTCTACTTTCATCCACATTTGTGGAACTTTATTTGAGTATTTTTCAGATTACAAGTTACTAAGTAAAGTAAATAAGGTAACAATTGATTTTCTAACAAATCATTCAAACTGAGTCCTCAGTCAAATATAACCTCAAGACACGACTGAACACGGATTACTGTCAAACTTGTATTAAAAGTTATCAAAATAAAAACAAATTAATATCATATTTAGCTTATAAGCTCTTTACTGAAAACATTGTACTGATGTTAGTCTTTTGTAATCATACATGTATATATGGTAAGTACATTAAATATTCTTTCATCAGTTAAATGCAACATACTTATAAATCGAGAAACAGTTTTTATTTAAGTTTTAGTAATACCCAGCAGTATTTGAATCAGCACAAAACATAAATTAATACACACCTTCCTCCAGCCCTTCCTCCACGTCCATGCTGTCTTCCTCCTCCTCTTCATCGTCATAGTTGTAGTTCGGGTCAAAGGTCATGAACTTAAGGCAAAGCTTTGTCACCGTGGCAACATCTCCTTTGGACAGCTGTCAATCAACGGAAACAACATGAAGGTCAGTGTGTGTGTGTGTGTGTGTGTGTGTGTGTGTGTGTGTGTGTACCTGCGTGTAAAGGCTTCAAAGGCCTGGAAACAGTACTCTCTCAGCTCGTCGTCCTCCACGTCCGTGAACTTCAACACCATCGGGATTAACTTCCACACACACACACACACACACACACACACACACACACACACACACACACACACACACACACACACACACACACACACACACACACACACACACACACCACACACACACACACACACACACACACACACACACACACACACACACACACACACACACACACACACACACACACACCACACACACACACACACACACACACACACACAACACACACACACACACACACACACACACACACACACACACACACACACACACACACACACACACACACACACACACACACACACACACACACACACACACACACACACACACACACACACACACACACACACGTGTGTGTGTTTGTGAGGTTGTGTGTTTCCATGGCGACGTGGTGCATGCAGTAAACGCTGTGTCTGCTTGTGGCAATGTTAATTCAACTAATATGGCTGAGTGGAGAAACACATCCAGCCTACTGATGAGGAGGAGGATCTGAAACACAGAGGAAGGGCAGGACACAAGGCTGCAAGGAAGGAGGGGATAAGGAAGGATGAGGAGGAAATGAAGTGTGCAGGGTGAGACGGGAACACATTGAAATAAAACACCTGAAGTACCGACTCAGCAACATGACTGAGCTCGGTGTGTTTTTACTCCAACAATTCAATTTCCTGCACAGCCAGTATTCAGTGAATGTGACTGAAATGTATTAATTGCATACAGGGTGACATATGTGATGGATACACACTGTGTTTCAGGATTAAATCCCTCCATACTAGTTGTTAACACACATGGTGGTGTTAGGCGTGCAGATACAGGTCCTTGAAACAAATCATGTTTTTGATTCAATTTCAAAAGGGAGACACACAGTTTCTGATCTGATGCAAGAAATCAGATATCAGAGCCTTTCTGAAACTGGAGCAGGACTTGTAATTTCCCCCTTTGGCATATCAGAAAACAACAGAGTAGTTAGCAGGGATGCAAACTCATCAGGTATGAAAAAGGTGACAAGGATCCGAGCCCCCCGACCCCACGGAATATCGGCTTTAAAATGAGGAATAACAGGATGTTAGCAGTCAGAACAACTAAAGCAGTTAATAATAACAGAAACGCCAAAGAGTCACATCTAATAGAAATGTATAAAAGCATTTATTTGAATTGTGTAGCAGTCAGTTTATAATGTTGGCAGCAATGTTGAGCATTTTGAAAATGTATTTTCATGCCTCTGTGCAAGGCTTAGTCTTTCTATCTGTATAGCCAGTGGTGTAAAGTAAGTTCATAAACTCAAGTACTATACTTGGGTACAATTTTGAGATACTTGTACTTTATTTAAGTATTTCAATGTGTTGCTACTTTGTTCTTCTACTCCTCTACAGTTCAGAGGTAAATTGTGTACTTCTACTCCACTCCATGTATTTAATACCTTTAGTTACTTCACAGATGTGGATGAATGATGTGAAATATAACCAAGTGTTAAATCAGACTTTAGTTCCACCTGGAGTAAATCCACAAGCTACCCTGCAGTATACAAAGTCATTCAAACTAGCTGCACCTTTACCAGCTTTGAGAACACTTTCATGATCAATCATTATAAAACATATCATATATATTATTCTGAAATGGACCAATCTGCACAATGACTACTTTTACTGTCGCTACTTTCACTATATTTTGATGAGAATACTTTTATACTTTCACTTGAGGAACATTTTGAATGCAGTACTTTTACTGTAACAGAGTATTCCTACACTCTGGTACTTCTACTTTTACGAACAAGATCTGAGTACTTCTACTTTTACTCAAGTACAAGACCTGAGTACTTCTACTTTTACTCAAGTACAAGACCTGAGTACTTCTACTTTTACTCAAGTACAAGACCTGAGTACTTCTACTTTTACTCAAGTACAAGATCTGAGTACTTCTACTTTTACAAACAAGACCTGAGTACTTCTACTTTTACTCTAGTACAAGATCTGAGTACTTCTACTTTTACTCAAGTACAAGATATATACTTATACCACCTCCGTTTATAGCCACGCGTGAGGTTTAGATTATTTCCCTGTCTCAATCCAAATGGAACTGTATGAAATAAAAAGGCACATTTGTCTTGTAGTAAATAAAAAGGGCGACCTGGAGCCAATCCTGCAATTTCCCCACAAGTGAAAGGCATGCTGAAGACCCAACCCCTGCAGGGGGGTCTGGGGGGATTTTTTAAAATACTAACATAAAATACACATTCTGGTACTCTCTTGAGAAGAAAAATAAATACATCTATTACTACACATTTAAAAAAATGAATGCCATTTTAGTTTTGTGTTACTTTGTTCTGAAAGCTGAACCTGCTGCTCCTCACAGAGAGAAGAGGGAAGAGGCTGTGTGAATTACTTTACATTGTGGATAAGGGTGGATAGCCCCCATTGTTCTGTGTGTCAAAATGAAAGACAGCCCACACACCTATCAATCATCAAACCGTGGGGTCTTATTTCATTACGTGTTGATTTCTATCAACACGTAGTGTTGTATCGATGTATAGAGATGTACTACCGCAAAAGTATTCTCCGTCGGGACTTCCTGCAACAACACCACGCCGTTATCGTGATTCTGATTGGCCAGAAGACATTATCAAAGATGTTTTATTGAGAAGACGATCACTACGTGACAAAAAATTTCAAAACCGTTTCTAGTCTTCGGTATTTCCAGACAAGTGGCTGCTGAAATCAATCTTACTAACTGCTGTCTGTGCAATTTACTCCGCGAGTTGGCGTACTTTATTTTGCTTACTTTAACATCATTTTTCATGGCGGGGCTAAGGTGGGGCTAAGCCATTTCTTGGTATGACTGTAGCCAAGGGTGTAACTTTGGTTTGAGAAGTGGGGGGGACACAAAACCGGGGTTCCTCCGCAATGAAATATTTTCTCAATTTAATTCCATTTCCTGCCTTTCTACAAATATATTAGGGACTATAGTGTTAACAAATCCAAGAAAAATGTGTAGTGTATATAATGAGTGTGCACACTTATCTAGTATCCTATCCATGTGAACCTGTTTTATTTGTGATTACCTGACATCCTCTAGGGGGGTCCGGGGGCATGCACCCCGGGAAGATTTGTTTCTTTAAATTGAAGTTGAATGCATCAATCTGGTGCACTTTGAGGGCAACATTAAGAGATTTATGGATACAGTTCTCAACACTCATATGAAACAGAACTGTATATATTTCAATAATCAAAAAGCCATTAGAATATGCTCACAAGCAATAACAAATCATTGATAAACTCCTCTCTCCTATCTTTATCTTACCTAGTCTGCATTTTTTCTTTTTATTTATGCATATTTGACTAATCACTCCCCTTTCAAACTGTGTTTTTTATTTTTGTACTGACCTATAGTACACATTGGAAGGATTTCTTAACTTATTTTATATACAACTATATATTACATAGATGGAAATATTTGTTTACATAGATGACCAAACCATTTGAGACCCACTGAGATAACTAGACTAAAGTTTACAACCTAATCACTCAGAGAGTCCTTTACCTCCCTGAGCTGACGTTATCTCTCTCAGTCCGACAGGAGAGGACTCTCCCTCTCCTTATTGTTGAAACAGCTTCTAATCTCCGTTAGCTCCGAGCTAGCACCAGATGCTTTTTTTTTTTTTTCT